TAACCCTGTTGGCTTGGCTGCTCTTGGTTGGAAGTACTATGTCGTTTTCTGCTGCATCCTGGCTTGTCTTGTTGTCGTTATTTACTTCTTGTTTCCCGAGACCAAGGGTCGCAGCCTGGAACAGATTACGGAGCTTTTTGAGGGCAGAAGTGTCAGTGTGGATGCTGAGGAGATTATTAGCAAAGGAAAGGTTGGGGTTGTGTATGAGATTGAGACACGAAACAAGGTCTAGGGCGCAAACCTTTAGGAGCTTTATGTACTTCTGTCAAGGGTTTTACGTTCAGCTAAAGACGAAGAATACGTAGCTCAGAGGAGTAACGAAGCATTCTAGGCAATCCAGTTGTTGCTAAATGGACGTCCAGAGTCGCAGACACAGTTCGCCATCTTGGTTCTACGTGACCTAGTATCGTGAAATTACCAGTGCTGCGGTTGTGAACACCAAGTTATGGGATCCCATGTTTGACACGGTACAATTGTATTCGGCCCCAACGCAACATGATCATGAAGTCAAAAGCGGGGTCGGTGAAGTGATGAAGATTTCGAACTCCATGACAGTCTATCCAGGTACTTGTGACAAGGTTATGTGGTTGAAAGAGGCTTCAGCCCCAACGCACAAAAAAGAACTCATAAAGACGCTACACTCTTGGCCCTCTATGGTGCCTAGGACCTGAACTTTGGATGAAAAACTAAAAATCCCGATGACGGTATAGAAAGAGCCTGCATGCTGCTTTCCCGTCCAGGTAGACGGGCTGGTGGCGTTTGGCGGCAAGATTAATTGGAATTTCGGGGTAATTAGGATTGAGTTTTTAGTTAGGTGTAGCCTAGTGGGTGGAGTTGTAAATGGCCCAAACAGAAAACCATCAGGGTAGCAAACCAAGAATATTTAAGTAAGAACCCTTATCAGCATCATAGTATTGATTCCAATTATCCTGAGCTGACCAAGTTCAGAATCTCGTATTCAATTCGCAGCCCAACATGTTTCAGGCCCATTTCAAGTCAACATCGCGAGCTCTCATCAACTCGCAGCGCTCTCCAAGATTGAGCCTCAATCTATGACACCTCTGTGCTTCTCCATCTCATTCCCAGCGCCTCCCAGTTCAGATCTCAGGCCAAGGAAGCGGCAAGATCCAAACCATCTCTATCAAAGACAAGCCTTACAAATTCTCAACCGACGCCCCCAAGGTCATAGGCGATCAGGAATCACACCCCTCACCTATTGCCTACACCCTCGCTAGCCTCAGCTCGTGCAACCAGGTCACGGGCGCGCTTGTGGCCAAGGATCACGGGCTCACGCTGGGCAAATGGCGCGTCTTGGTCGAGGGCCAGCTTCCCACTGCGGTATTTGTGGAAGGTGAGCAGGGTAACCCGAATTGGGAGAGCGTGGACTTGGAGGTGTCTGTACAGACCAGTGCAGACGATGCTGCGTTCGAACATTTTGCTGCCGAGGTTGAACGGCGATGCCCTATCGCGCAGCTTTTTAAACGCAGTGGTGTGGTGTATAAGAGCAAGTGGATTAACGAGCCGCTGTGAGAGCTAGTGTGCGCCTGAAACATTCTCCAGGAAACGCAGGACAAGAAGTCTGGGGAGGACGCATAGTGTCGATTGGACAGAAGTATGGACTGAGGGACCACAGCGGGCCAAGGGGCCGTGAGATCACGTATGGAGACAACAGACATGTAGGGTAAAATTTCATGATACAGGATCAGTTTGCCAGTATGAACGTAATATCAAAGTCATCGCTGTTGCGCTTTGCCTCGATGCAACACGGTAGCCCATGTGCCTACCGCCTATGCATGAACTCACGGATTATTTCGCTGACAAACGTTTGAATATTAAGTATATAGGTTAAACGTCTACAAATGCTAGTGCCTGTTACTCATGCACCCGTTTGGTCTTATATGGCCTCTAAAGCTGCGGTGCTAGATAATTCTCTGGCTATTCAACCTCGCCCAACTCATCGCACGCTATAATGCGTATCATCTTTCGGTTTTCATCATAAACTACCGTGACCTTGCCCTTGCCAATCCTCCCAATGCAGTTTGGCCGGAGTTGTACGAAATCCCTTGCGAGTTCCGCTCCTGCAACTACCGGCCCCACAGTACCGAGCCTTCACCCACATCACGGCGTTTATTTCAAACTGCCGCGCAATTAGGCCGCGTCTTTTTGACCAAACAGACACAAAGATCTTCACGCCAATAATACGTAGGCCGGAATATGTAGTAGCCGTAGTGGACTAAATCGGGAACCCCTGTTGTCTTGGCAGGATAAATACCCCATTGCTTCCATAGACTATTCAACCATCATTCCTCATTGTCTCATAGTCACCACAAATGTTGCCAAGAAACCTGTTCCCTCTTCTCGCCGTTTCGGCTGTTGCTGAAGTGCATCATCTATTTTCTGGATTCTTTTCTGGATCGACTATTGCCGGAATTGAGTTTGACGATGAATATCATTCCTTGAGCTTGGTGAAGAATATCTCCTCCACATCCGATGACGGGTCGAAGTGGATTGCACTTGACGTAAGAATTGCTCAGATATTCTACCTGTATCACAACTTATCAGAAACTTTAGGCTCGCAAAAAGAACTTATATGTTGGTACCACTGGGTACTTTCAAAGCTACAAGATAAACAAGGACCTTGATTTGACCTATAAGAGCAACGTCAGCTTGTCTTCGGATTGTAAGCAGCCCTTCCCGATACCAATGCCCGATTGTTATGCTCGAGCTGTCCTCTGACCACTTATACACAGGCAACAACGCAAACTTCATCACCGCATCAACCAAGTCACCCTTCTCAGTATTCGGAACACCATATGGCGGAGGCTGTCCAACGGTCGCCATATCCGTGGATAAGACCGGCACGCTCCAGAAAACCTTTGCAAATGCGACTTACAATACCAAAGGTGGTGTTCACGGAACCGCACTGAGCCCCAAGAATGATTTCCTGTACTCTGCCGATGACATGGGAAATGCAGTCTGGGTTCACTCATATGATCGCGAAAGTGGCAAGATTGAAGAGGTGCAGTATCTTGCTGCCGACGAAGGATCGAACCCGAGACATTTGACTGTTCACCCCAACGGAAAATGGGTGTATGTCGTTTATGAGGAGGCGAATTCCATTGCGGCATACAAGCGGGACACAAAGACGGGAAAACTTGAGTTTCGCAACGAGACCTACAGTTTACTTCCTTCCGGTAGGACCGAGATACCTTCTTCATACCTTGCTGAAGCTAACTATTTCTTTAGGATTCACCAACTCTTCTTCCTACTGGGCTGACGAGGTACTGCTCTCCACGCCTGCCGAAGGATCATCCCCCAAATACCTGCTCGCCGCCACGAGGTCTCGCAAGACTGGGATTTCCGGATATGTCTCTGCGTTTAGTCTAGATACTAAGACTGGAGGTATCAAAGAGCAGCTGTTTCTACAAGAAACCACTAACAGCGGAGGATCTGCGAATGCTGTATCGCCTGCTTCATTCAGCGAGGATTTCTTTGCAATCACTGATAGTGGTTCGAACTTTGTTGAAGTTTGGAAGATCAAAGGCAAGAGTGTTTCGGCAGTTGCTCACCTGAATCTTGACAATGGACCGGCCAATGTTGTATGGTATAGCTGAGTATCATCGAGACAGGTCTGTAGGTGAACGGATTTCGGTCCTCGATTTGTGAACTCATGACATAGCGTCGGCAGTATGCCAAGTGACTCGTTGATAGCCAGAGCTCACTTCCATTTCTTATCACTCGTTTTAGTCAGAAATATCGTGATGAAAGCACTGCTTATAAAAACAATGCGTCCGTAAGGCTAAGTTCTCTCGGCTGATTTAAGCTCTTAGCCACAAGTCTCCGAGGGTCGTAAGGCATGCAGGTTTCCTAGATGAAATCGCAAGCATGCCAATTAGGTGTGCGACTAAGAACTAAATGAAAGAGGTACATGTACAACTTGAAAATAGATTTCACTCATTGGCTTCGATGATAAGGTCGACCGGACGCTTCCTTGTTTCGCTCTCTTTGTACCAATCCATTATCTGTGGCCATACAGGAGGGTTTTTCACAAGAATCGTTGTCGCTGTGGCATTCTTCAAATAAGAAGTATGTCGAAGTTTCTCGATACTAGCAGAAGTTTTGAATGTCTTAAGAAATATGTGCGCAACCTCTTCTCCATTTTAAGGCACAGAGGTGAACCAGTAATGGAATAGCGCAATGCCGTCGCCAAGCTCCTGGAGACTTTTACCATCCACAGTTAGGATAGAGTGAGGGTAGATGCAAGGGTCTCTACTGACGAAGAGTTACTGCCTTTTGCGATAGCAGAGAGGCGGAGATCATGAAGTCTTTGAAAGTCATATCTCGTACCAAACCCTGGTTTGACTGTATGAAACTGATAATGCAGTATTTAATGGATCAAGTTCGGCTACTGAAGTAGCTCCCCTGAACTGCCTTCATTCAAACCGAAGCGCTGCCATACTACTATATATCTCTCCATGCTCACCAAACTCCTGCATCCTGTCTAGGCTCAGTCGTTGTTGATTACCAGGAAACCACCACTTGCTGGGAAGATGCGGCCTCCATCACTCAGAACTGTAGTACATCTATACTTTGGTAGACTGTTTTATACTAACCAAACTCTGGCGCTCTATCATGGACTGTCAATTGCTCTTACTGCCAGTAGAACAACGCGTGATCAAAAAAGCCCAGACACCGAGCACCGAAGACAAACACATAGAAACTGCAGTCAAGGAGACTGAGATAGCTTACCGAAAAAGAAGACATCAGAGAAGTCTGGTTTCCTGGTAACCGCGGTGATGTCGGCGGAGGTTGGCCGGCTATCCCGACAGGGTTGAAAGTCTGGCGGCTTTGGAAGTATATTTTTGGAGGGACCAAGGTCGACAATCAAGACGAGCCTCTTCACCCTGGAATAGATGATCCGCGAGGTTGACATTGTCGGTAAACAACACCCTTGCTGCCAAGTGAACTGGTGCCATACAGTCGACGCTTTCAAGGCTACCATGGTGGTAGCTGCAAATGTAGAAGATCGGATCATCGGGGGGTTCATGCATGACTCCCAAAGTCTCGGTTACGGCTCATCATTCCTCACGGTCTTTATGTGGAATCTCATTGGTATGTCTTTCGCCATCTCTCTTTGCAGGAGACCATGATACTAACACGATGCGAGAAACTCTCCCTGGCATTCCTCGCTGGGAACTCAACGACCCGCAGAAAGAGGAGGACAGAGGATTGGGAATATACCGATGCATGCCCAACTGGTGGGGTCGTCGTGATATTTCTAGAGGAGCCGTGCCGCACAACTCTTTGAAGGAGCGGCTCGATAAGGTTGACAGCTACGGGCCCCTAAACAACCACGGTTCAGGGGAACCATGCTTATGGAATTCAAAGGGTGTCGCTGACATGGGAGACGTTACGTATCAGCGTCTTGATCAGAGTGGTCAGGAAATCAAGTCCGCTGAGTGGGATTCTAGGCATAAGATTTGGCAGTTTGAGGATTTTTACGCCCAGCATGGTCAACCTCGCATTTTCTAAAATGCTGTGACTTCAGTAAATCGAGAGGGACTGTTATAATCAGTTTCTTACCATGCCACGATAAGTGTGTTCACTTCCACCATGATATACAAACCAGTCTTATGTGAAGAACTGAAACTGGTACTACTGGGTTCTTTCCAAAATGACTCATATACCGCGAAGAATATCCCTCTGTTTCCTATCCGATTTCTTATGTCTTTCTCTGACTTTGGATCTATCGGACGAGATTTAAGGTACACCAATGACGGGAAAGCGAGGTTGTCATCTACGAGATATTCAGTGGAGACTGATCTTAACGTTGTCTCATTATGTGAAACTGGCTGAGATAATTTACCGGATAATTTAAGCAGCGCCTGACTGACCCCTAACGATTCCAAATATTATGTCATGCTACAACCCTTTTTTCCTCAGTAACATTTCAACTTCATATTTTCTTCATAATGGCAACTCCAGAGACTGTTCTCGAAGCCCCCTAGGAGACAATTTCTCTCCAAAACAGGAGCCGAAATATTAATATTCCCAATCAGTAAGACACTAGTTAAGCGGGGCGGGTCTTAAATTCAGCGTTGCAAGGGGGTTGAAAATATGCGGGGTTAGGGAATGGTTGGATGAGAAAAAGTGCCCGTGAGCCTGGTCGCCCAATTACAATCTCGATCATTAGCCGCACCTGAGACGGGCGGCCTCCTTGTAAATCCTCCCAGTTCCTCACTGATTTTCTTGCTCCTCTCACAATTCACCCAAAAATGGAGAACCAAGTTGTGGCATTTGATGAAGAGCTTGACTCAGCCTCAGATTGCACAGGCAAAAGCATCATCGACCAGGAGGAAGCCCATGTGAGTATTCCCAATGGGACCCAGCTTGGGGACACTTTCTCAATCCGCCGCAAAGTGGAATCCTTGAAGCATGGAGATATCTACGATGTGAACCATGTCGCGATGACCGAAGTCGGCATGGAGGCAAGATACCAAGCGAGAGCGTTCCAGACACACGGTCTATTACCAAAACTTGAAGCACATGTCCGTCGTACAATCAGACGGATGTCACGAAGAACGGTTCTTCGCACCACTTGGGGTCAGCTTGAGGTGGTTGTCTTCAAGGCAGAAAATCTGGACAGATCCGAGAGCAGCAATCCTGTCCAAGCAAAGTCTGAAGGCCCAAGTTGCCCGCCACCATCTGAGCCGGCATCTCCAAAGCGGACAAAGAAGACATCGGCAACAAGGAAAGAGTCGGAACGACTTCGGCAGCAATCTCGCCGAAAAAGAAACCTTCAAAGAAAACAAACGCAACACATATCGCCTCAAGACAAATCGATTCAAACTGAACAAGGGTTTGGTCTTAGCCTCCTTCTCGACATCGATCCGGATGACATTATCTTTCTTCATCGAATCAATCACATAACCTCTTTCAGACCAATATGGAGCTCCTGGGATCTCAAGCAATATCTTGAAGCACGGTGCAAACGGACCGTACCGTCTGACGTTGAGAGTTTGTCGGATATGATTAGGCACGACAAAGTGTACCTTCATCGACAGAGGAATAAATTTACGGCAATCATGGAGAAATGCACGAAGTATATTTCAGAGAATTGGGCCATGAAAAACCACGGTCGGGGGTTTTTGCCTTGTTTATCAATCTCTCAGGAGCTAAGGGCTCAGAAGATTTTGTTCCTGCACCGATATATGATTTTAATTTCTGGACTTAGTGCACTGAATTCTATCCTTGTTTGGCCTGGACAAACTGACAGTTTCAGTCGCGTCCTCGCTCAGCAAAGCGAATCTTAAAGAACAACACCGCGAGGGTAAAATTGAAGATTAAAGATTTGGCTATAGGATATTTAAAGAAAATAGTATTCAATATCCGTATTGGGATGGCATCAAGACTTGTCAAGGCATGCTTGAGGCTTGAGAAACGTGTTTTGGGAAGTAGAATGACTTCGGAAGCTCGCAGTGGTAGTGGTATTAGAAGTTAACAGGATTTAGATGTTGAAAGAGCATTAACAGTTCCGTTGAAGTCCCATAGATCAAGCTCAAAGTTGATGATGTTTAGAGCTAACAAAAGGTATATATAATAGTAAAGGTTTCAGTTTACTATAGACTAATTTAATAAAATTAGGAAATTTATCACTTTAAACCCAAGTCTTTAAAGATAAATAAAGAAGGTTCATAACCATAAGGCCATGTCCAAAAAGTCAAACGACAAAACATTAGCAATTCCTACCAAAAAGAAGCAATGACTATAAAGATTTTCCCGAGCCTCCAAGTATCCAGACTAAAAAAAATTCTTTCCTTCCCGTGTCCATTCTTTCCCTTACTCTTCTTTTCCTTCAAAACTAACCCATACTTTCCCACAAATCCAAGATCCTTAAAACCATAAAAATAACTACGCTAGCATCCGGTGCAAATTGCATACCAAAACCATGAAAAGCATATCCAAGCGTAAAGAAATAGTTTCCTTTTCCATTGTAGCAGACCTCGACCGATCTCAAACCGGAAGAGGTTATCCATAGCCATCCCATCAAGGGATTCCTCGGATTAAGAAGTCTTGCTTCTTGGGTCTTTCTGGTAGTTGAAAGATTTGTCGGTTCAGTCATCGGCGAGTGACTTGCCTGGGTCTTCACGACCTCTAACAGACGAAGTGCTCAGGACCAGATTGACTAGATATGATCATTCATCATGTGACAATTGGGCTTAGATCCTCCGGATCAAGACAGGACTTTCCATATTCCTTCCATTCGTTGCATTCCCAAAAACACAAGCCATGGCGGCAAAACTACCATTACCTATTATCCATCATAGCCCGTTGCCGAGCCTATTGTCTGTCGTAGTGCGCAGAGGTAAAATTGAATAGTGTACAAGGGCGCATGAGGGTATCTCCATCTAACAAAATCGCAGCGCGATGTGAAATCCGGGATAATAGGTTGCTGGTGTATTTGGGATTGCAACAAGTTGGCACTAACTCGTCAAGTGCTTGCTCGACTTCGTATGGAATCATCCAGCCAGGGATGTTCTTCGCAAAGGCAGTCGTGCAGCATCACTTCTCAAAAATTGCTTTCTTCTCCACTAAAGTTGTATGTTCTCTCCTTTATTCATGCCTCCTCTTGGGTCGACCAGGGGGGCGCGATTTATCACATGTGCCCACGTGGCTGGATAGCTCCTGGAAGCTCTCGACAGCATGTCCACATAAGCACGCGTACAGGCTGAGGTGGCCGCGGCACTTTGGCGACTGAACATGTGCGCGGAGGCGATCTGGTCGAAGAAACTGTTTCCCGCATCGACATCGGTATCTTTCCAGCGAGTGCGCCGAGCTCCGCAGGTGGCGCTCGAAGTCGACTCTGCGGCTGAACCGGCAGCTATGCTTTCCGCAGCTATAGGGCTTCGAGGAACCAGAGATACTTTGACAGTGCGAAACTCTATAATGGTCGGCTAGTGCAGATAGCTGATTGAAAGCCATGGAGCATATGTCGCAACTGTAGCGCGAAAGTGACAGTTGCGGAGTGGCTGGATTGCTGGCGCTCGCAAGCGTCGATGGTGATTGTGATGTGCCAGAAAGGCTACGGGAGAAAGATGGTGGTGATTGTGATTCGTTCTCAGAGGGACTGAAAATGGTGACTTGAATAGGAGAAGAAGTAGGTTGAGAAGTTGGCAGCATTTGAGGAGAGTCGTAGCCTTCTAGATTGCCAAGAGGGACGTCGCATTCGGCAATACCTGACGATTCATCGCACAAAGTATCGCGCAGTTTGGAGGTCTCCAACTCTTCATCTAGATAGGCTGCTATGGATGGAACGATGTTGAGTTCCCAGTCGAGATCGGGGTTGTCAGGCCCATTGTGATCTAGGTGATGATCATAGTGGTTACCCTGTATGTTAAGTGCGCCGGATCAACCGGCGCCTTAACAACAGCGATAGATGTTGAGGTAAATTGTGCTAGCTCACGAGAGCATTGATTCGATAAGATTGGGCAACGGTTTCCGCGTCGCAAAAAGGTCAGGAAAGCAAAACACAATATTTTCAATAGAGAGCGATAACAAACGGCAATTCATAACAGCCCAGAAGTTGTAGACACAGCCCTGTTTGCAGCTGAATACGGAAAGTCAAGCGCGAAGCTCGCACTGAGGCGAATTGGCGGTAAGAAAAGAGGGAAAAGAAGGGGGAAACGAATGAGGCTGTGGGCGGTTTCTTAAACCTGCCAGGTCTGTTCAGCTCGACCGTAGCGCCCTACAGCTGATGACATGTTGAGACACTGGGCACGTTTTCTGATTCGCTGTCACTTGTCCCTATCCTCCATTGTGGGTAGTCCTTCGTGGGCACGTTTTTTGATTCGACAGTGGTTTAACCCCGCCACTCCCCTTCGAGAACGCCATGCACTAGGCCTAACAAACTTGGATGCTTACAGTTTCCCCAAACCTGGCGGTGCTATGATAAGATACATTGAGTATGCCTTATCTGCACCATGACGTCTCGAAGAGAAGATCTAACAAGTTGCGCGGTCAGAAGAGGGTCTGCAGACCTGGGTAGGGCTCCAGCCAATCAAGAGAAGAGAGGCGTCCTTCCCCCCCCCCTCAATATTGTAGGCCTGAAAACCATGTAGAGATCCTTAGGTAAGATCAATGCGTTGGTATGGGCACTTTTTTTAAGTGGCCAAAATTACCGACACATCAATAAAGACAACTCTGGAGCTTTCGGAGGCTAAGCTAGGGTATCCAATGGGGAAATGTGCCCACTGAAGTCTCTCATGAAATGGTATGATGAATTTGCCTTGGTGACTGAACGTCCAATCTGAAAACGTGCCCTTAGGAGAAAGTCATTCATCGGTTGTCATTTCTTTAAGAGATTACCGCATTAGTTATATTCAATGTTCTCTGGTTTTATCAGTCGATTGCTTCTTATTTAAACGTACTTGCCGCGTGATACTGCTTCATCAATTCTTAATATTTCTACACATAATCCTAGTCTATGTTCTACTCGAAACCTTCAGCTTTTATACACAAATCCCAGGCATCAAACCCTCAAGCTTTACTCATAATAACCCGCAAGGCCGAACGGCAGATTAAACAAAAGAATTAATTGAACAAGGCATCAACATATTCGTGCAATTGTTGTGACAAAAAGAACTAAGATCATGGAGAAATCGGACAAGATAGGTTAGTCTTGAGCGACAAACAACAAAAGAGACTTCAACTAACAACAGTAAGTAGCAACATCAACGCACGGTATCACAAGCTACCAGATGCTGCGGTGGGCAACAGGGAATGGGAAGTCTGATCCTTGGAGTCCAGTCTCAAGTATTGCTGGGTTTCAGCCCGCCGATATCACGCTCAGTATCAATTACACTGAGGTTCAGAAGGAGAGTACCAAAGCTACAGCTGGCTCAACTACCAGTCAGAAGTAGGCTTCACATAGCTATGAAATTGGGAGTATAAGTCAGAGTAGGGCCTAAGCTCGCATGGGTTAGAACGACAGTTATCAGACTAGGGATTTGAACATTACAATGACACGTTTATCACATGGCTATATATTGCGGTATACGATCAGATGGTCACCAGAAGATGATGGCACATGGAACGAGTATGAAGAAGAATGTTCCAGTTAACGGCGCATTGGCCTTGGTTACAGATGAGCCTTGAAATAGTCAAGAAACCTTTGAAAGCTGCAAGTTCTGGGGTTGTCTTCCAGTCCCATATCAGCTTTATATTAATAGTTACCTGAGAGATACAGGTGATTTGGTTGAAGGGGCAATGGGTCATTGAGGTCCGCAGAATCTTTGACAAGCTAAATAACCATAATCTTCAAAGGTGTTGTTGCACATGTGCCTTGTAGAACTTTTGAATTTTTACTTACCTTATTTTGTGTCGGCCGCATGAGGACTGAAGTGCATCCTTCGAAGATTGGCATTCGTATCTGCACAAGAGGCGCCATAACTCCCAAATGCATTAAGCATGCGTACTCCTTGCTCGTAACACATGATCTCTGAGTCAGTCGATCGAGAGTCGTCGTTGTTGTGATCAACTCCTTATCAAGCCAAGGTAAGTCAGTTCAGTTCAACTCTGACATACAACAGCCTTAGTTATACATGTGACCTTGTATCTTTGGCTTTCATTTTACTACTTCCAGTTCCACATACTCCTCCATCCTCAGTCTTGTGTTACTAATAGAGGCGCAGCATATGCGTAGACAAATTGACGGACTAGCGGATTACAATCCCTGTCGGTATTGGGGCGCAGCGTCATGATTGTTCGAGCTTCCCCTCTTTTTCCAGGCAACCACGTCTGTAGTCTATCTCAACTTCTTCATCAGCACCATCGGAACTGCCAGTGGCAGTCATTATAATACAAACATTAGGCATTTCCACCTGAAATCCCGAAGCAGCAAGATGAGCAGCCGCCGGACTTCAGCTCTTCCAGGCTCCTCAATTCAGCAACGCCTTCTCCAGAACCCGACTACGAGGCTCCCAACTCACAAAATGCCTGACGCTCAGAAATATGAGCATACTTCTCCTTACCGTGCAAACCCTGAATCGGCCATCTCGAAGCCTACTTCTTCTCAGGCTCTACCGTTTGGATCTCTGCGACCCGTTCCAGATGGTGATGGCGCAACCAGTTCCTACTTTGAGCACTCGAACGGCAAGCGAATCAACACTGATCTTGTCTTCACCGCAGCTCTCAAGAAGCAATACCCTGAGCTCAACCTTGTTGTAGTCCCACAGGACGGCGATATCGGAAGCCCTTGCAACTTACTGGCTTTCGCAGGCGCCGGCTACGCTACCGTGACTCCAATTCAAGACAAGGGCGACCTGCCATCATCGCTCGAATGGACGGTTTACTTGCCACCCGCCCGTCGGATGGATGGCAATAAAGGAGGCTTGGCCGAGGCGCCCATCTTTGGCAAATTCCTCTACCAATGGGAGGGTGCGGAATTCATCGTCTATCTGGCCGATGGTCGGGATGGGTCGAGCTCCTACCCAGCACTCAAGAACTACTACATCCTCACAGCTGATGTCTACAAAGCTGATCAGCTTGTTCTCACTGTTGGCTCATGGGGAAGCGACCTGCATAATGAGGTCTGGGTCTTCGATCAGGGCTTTTTTCACAAAGATCGCGAGCTGTGGGAGAGTGCGCAGAAATCAACATGGGATGCAGTCATCCTAGACGAGGATATGAAGAAGTCGCTCATAAATGACCACATCTCCTTCTTCGAGTCGAGGCAGACATACGAAGGTCTCGGCGTACCATGGAAGCGAGGAATCATCTACCATGGACCCCCTGGAAACGGAAAGACTATCAGCATCAAGGCTGCAATGCATATGCTAGCTGATAGAGCCCCTCCCGTTCCCACTGTGTATGTGCGTAGCCTCGAGTCGTGGATGGGACCCCAAGGCTCTCTTTACGAGATCTTTCAGAAGGCCAGGGAGTTTGCGCCATGCTACTTGGTGTTTGAAGATATCGATTCTCTCGTTACACCCGACGTGAGGAGCTACTTCTTGAACGAGGTCGACGGCCTAAAGCAGAACGATGGCATATTTATCATCGCCAGCACTAACCACCTGGAGCTCTTGGACCCAGGGATCGCAGTAAGTATATTAACCCTGGCCTAGGACTGCCCGCTAACAACGTAGAAACGTCCATCTCGCTTCGACCGAAAGTATTACTTTCCCGACCCAAACATTGACCAACGAGAGGCATATTGCCGCTTTTGGCAGAAGAAACTTAAGCCCAACAAGGAAATCGAGTTCCCCGACAAGTTGTGCAGGGCCATCGCTGAGATCACGGACAAATTCAGCTTTGCTTACATCCAGGAGGCGTTTGTAGCAACCCTGTTGGCCATCGCTCGGCGTTCAAAGACCAAGCCAACAGTAGAAGTCTCTGCAGAGGCGTGGGTCTTGGTTCGTGATGAGTTTGGAGCTGACCTAGCCTCGGATAATGGTGAACTAGACAGACTGGAGCTCTGGGTCGAGATAAAAAAGCAGATCGAGATCCTTCGAGAAGGTATAGAAGAGGAACAAGAAGCATCTTAGTAGTTGAATGCAGTGGGCAGGAGGAGGCTAAGAGGGTAAGCAAGAATAGAAAGTCCTAATTACTTTATCTCTTTATATAATTATTACATGTATAAGTTGTAAAAGATTACTATAAAGAAGAATTTATAAGGAAGGGGAAGTATACTAATATACTAACAGTGAGGGAATTACAATATAGTATAGGTTGAGTGTCAGGCTGTCGCTACCTTGGATGGGGCCCTGCATCCGTGCCTCAAACCCTCGACGTTGACACATGTCCATCTGTTTCCTAGATCCCACCGGTGGTCTTGGGAGCGAGCCATTTAAGGCGACCGTTATCAATTCGGCATTGCGATAATTCACTTGGCGCTTGGTTCAAGTAACCGTACAATCCCGTTGCTTGGGCCTGGGAGCTATCTGTTGGGTTCTGGTTATGAGACAGTTGGGTCATGATAGCTTCAGGGGCGCGGGTCTCAGTAGTCGCTGGTCGGGGTAGCTGATGGGGATGGAAATTCGTGATGCTCGGTTCGTGCTGTTGCGTCGGAGGCCATTGAGATACTGGAGCGTCACCAACAGCTGTCGCCTGGGGTTGCATGGGAAATGAAGGGTCTGAAGAGGCGTCTCCGGTTAGTACTTGAGACTCAGATATGCCATCATGTTGCGGAGTATGATTGGGCTTTCGCAGGATAGAGTCTGTTTGACTACCGTGGGCTAAACGCCGGCGGTACTCTGCCGAGTTGATCAAGTCGTCATGAGAGTCCAAATTATCATTCACTCGATGTTGACTATGATCCGATAACGCAGAATTCCACGGCTGTTGTGAATACCCATTGCCGTGATTGGGGCTTGCATCTTGCTGGGCATTACCTAACGTCATAGGTTCCTCTCGAGGCTCGGTCTTGGGAACGCGCGCCCCGACGGGTGTATCAGGCAATGGCTCAGCACATCCTGCTTCATCATCGCTTTCATCATCAATGACAATGATCTCTCGACCGGGGACGCCTGTAAACTGTTCTTCGCGAGGGAATATCTCGGCCGTCGGTTGGTCATCGCTGAGGCTCCCTTGTCCAGCGTTGATATGAGAGACTGAATAGAGAGACGATTAGTCGGGTCCAGAAAGCTCACTCACCACGACTTACCTGCTTGATCACTACTATTATTTTTTGATGCAATATATCTATCCACGATGTCTTTGAACGGGGTGGTGGCAACCTGAGGATCGTATAAGTGAAAGTCGCGTGCAGCAACCCAAAAAACATGACATTGCCCTGGAAACACAGACGCATCAAAATACATAATGGGATATTTCCTCTTCGGGTAGTGCTGTCCATCAGGGCGGTAGGGTGGAGCCCATTCGTATGACTCGTCGACATGGTTATATTGATAACAGGATGGGACTTTTCTGATGAGCTCAGTGTCCTTGACTGTAAGCGATAAATCTTTACCAAGATGTCCGACATTACGCCAAGGCAGAACCAGAATGGCAAAGAATTTCTTTGTCTCACTCCAATAGGTTGTGTACACCTCGCCAGGCTTGGGGTCAATCACGGACAGGTTCTGGTTACTCCGCGTGGGAACGCTGTGAGCAACTGAGGGAGAAAGACTATTGACAGGCCGACCCATCTCAGAGTAAGAAGGTCTTTGCGCAACCTCATTGTTTTCAGCGACGCTTTCGTCCGTGCAGTTAAGAACACGAGTTCCGAGAGCGCGAATGGCTTCTTCAAAGTTGACAGAAGTCTGGTTATGCTTCTTGCCTCGAAGGTGCTTCTGGGCACCGCGAATGGGATGATTGATGAAATGCAGCTTGTGTTTCTTACACTCGAGGATATACCAGAAATTGTCGTGCTTGACGATGACATACTTGGGCTCGGCGTGGCCGTTTTGGTAGACTTGGTCGAACTCAATGGTTCTGTCGCCCGTAAGAGGCTCTTGTGCTGCATCCGATCGAACGCGCTTCATTGGACGGGTCGGACGAGATTCGGCGGATTTGTGGGAGTCGATCGGTCTCTTTTTGGGACCTGATGAGGTGTTCTGTTCGATTCTGTGCAGTTCGTTCGGGCGACCAGTCGGCTTGATTGCATTTTCGGCGATGGGAGGGCTAGGTACGGAGTTGTTCGTGCTTGTCGGCTGGGCGAGAGGGTCTTGTGTAGGAGCGGAACCCGAGGCAATTGTGTCTTCGGGTTGGTGGGTATCGATGGCGCCTGGTACAGTGTCTGACTGAGCAGCAGTAGTAGTAGTAGAAAGAGGGTGACCGACCCGGTCGCACCAATTCTCGCATAGCCATTTACCAAGTTCAGGACCAAAGAGGTCTAGATGTTCATTCACCAAGGCAATCTGCAGTTCCCAAAGCCTTTGCTGATATTCGCGCTCCTTTTGTTCCTTAGTATCTTTGTGTAACGCCATAAGGTCTTTGATTCGAGCTCCGCAGCTCATAATCTCATCGAACTTGTCGAATGAGTTTTGTGACGAGTGAGTAAGACTGTTGAACGAATCTTGGGCTATTTTGATGTTTTCTTGAAACTCTTCCTCTGGTGATTTCTCAGGATGAATTTGGGCTGTGCATCGTGCAAAATATTCCTGAAGTGCGGGAATTCGCTCCGCGGGCTGTGATGGATGTCCCTCCATTTCAGGCGGTTTCGGGGATAGCTTGCGCTATGCAGCGCTGGGTTAGGCAATAACTAGGGGCGGCTCAGTATCTCAGTCAATGAGACAATAGCGTGCAGGTCGTCAACGGCGCTCTAGAGTTAGCAGCATGGCAATGGGCCATTTATCAACAGAATCAATTAGCCACGGCACATGCCAGTAGATGAAAGGAAGAAATAGGAGAGAAGCGGTTCATTTATTTTTTTTCTTTTGATGTGACAGCCTGATCCCGCCCATGTCCAATCAAAATAGCAACAGACAAGGATACTGAAAACCGACCAATAATGAGGTATCCTTACATCCTGGTACCAACCGTTCTTCTACAATGAGGCTTGATAAGAAGAGTTTAGATCCGTTGCCTCTTGGCTTACTACGTCAAGGTAATGGCGGCCCATATCATTTAAGCCGCGTCTGGTGCAACCCCGCGACGATAGGCATACCCCCTTCCTTTGAACACAACAGTTCAACCAGTCAATGAACCAATCAGTCAGTCTCTCTATTTATCTGGAAAATAATTAAAGAAAAAGGCCTTTAGAGTTTATTTACTTTACTGAAAGTTGCCCATAGCACTGATGCAGATATGCATGCAAATGGGGCAGGTCTAAGAGCCGTGGAGCAGCCTAAAAGACCTTGCGCTGGCCACACAAGGATGGAGCCTCCTGGAAGAAGGAACAGTCCGCTTCACAGTATTAATCTGCAAGCCTAGATATCGCAATCTCAGGACAAAGGTGGGTCTAGATCAGTCTATCTAGTTCTGCCAGTCAGTATCAGCATGACACATACGATACCTGGGACCGAAATATGGCCTAAACACATGACAGTCAACTGAGCCATCTGGGCAGCAGAATCCCAGAGCAGGAGATATTTGGCCAACGGATATACAGGATCAATAACATGTTTAACGCGTCTGCCACGGATAGTTAAATAGCTGTACTTAAGCTGCTTCAAAATAGTATTACTAACTATCCTGAAACCCTCAAAAGGCTATCAAGGGTATCTCAAGTAACGAAAGGATATCTGCTTCCTTTTGCTAAGAACAGTAGATTCGCCAATTTGAGATTCCAGACCACCAAATAAAGCGCGGTCATGGTATGCCCAGAGTCTGTTGCTCCCATTGAGTAACAGAGGAATAACAAAAAGACTCAGTATATAAATAAATACTTATATTAAAAGAATGGATACTACCTTAAATCTACAGGTAGTCACTAAAGCTAAGTAGCTTATGACTTAACAGTAAGGACAGAGATAAGAACAAGTGGCCAGTTATTCCAAGAGATCACACTATACACAGGTTTGAGATCCACCGCTGTTTGCCTGAGCCAATACACAACAGCTCCAAGCAATCTCAGTCATCACCACTACTGATAGTACCATGTCTCTCGAGAGACTCCACCACTCTCCCATTCCAGGCGATAGTGGCGCCCATCCGAAGCATCAGACATTCTAGTGGTGAAGTATGCTGCATCCGGCTGCCCATCAAATGCAGATGAGTTCAAACCCACATTGGCCGTCAAGCCTCCCATGACTACCCTCTGAATGTAGTTCAGGTGCACTACTTCAGAACCGGGCCCGTTAAGGGAGATAGACTTCTGGTAGACTGTATCAGAGCCATTCATTTGGTAGTACACGGTGATGTTGAGCTGTTGGCCGTCGCCAAGGCCATTCGCAAATCGCACGTAGACGTCTTGAGGCATCGCGTGCTTCTTTGGTCAGCAGGCTATTACTAAAATTTCGTGTCAAGGTAGTAAGAACAAGGCTTACACTTTTAAGTGGTTTGCTTTATTCGTAAAAGTCGAGCGTGGTTCTGATGAGTAGGAAAAGAAGTGAAGGAGTTTGAACAGATCGCTCTCGTCTTATATAACAATGAGCAGACGTCTTTCATGTCTAACTGTACTGATTCACGTGAATCAGCTTACACTTACAAGTCGCAGCGACTTTTTCAGCTAACTACACATCTGTATACACCAAGTAAGATCTACGAAGTGGGATCTAATTGGGATTTTCAGCCAGCCATATCCATGTACATAAAGCAGGATCAAGCGTGTCACATTTTCAGGCAGCCACACTTTCTTTTCAAGAAGCATACTCTGCTTGAAATTCTCAGCAAGCAGGATTGAGCTTTTCTCATCAGCTAGCCACAAACCTCTCTTTGCGGTAGCGAGTTGTTCTCTTGGATGTATGTTGGCCGTAGCTGTCTCACAGTTGTAAGATCATATCATCAGATGATGATGGGACTTCTCCACCGGTTTAGAGTTCCTGGATAGAGACGATTAAAGCGTCCGGGAAAGCATCTATCATTTTACATGACTATCACTGAAGGTACTCTCTGGACTGCTGCAGGGAAGTAGTCTTTCTTTAATTTCTAATTTTACACAAAATAGCTTACTCAAAAATAAGGATACCTTTAAGCTTGATAATTAATAAGGGAGTATAGTGTTATTCTCTTGTTTACTATACTAGATTTATAAACTAGGTAGCCTCAGGAGCGTGTCGGGTAATAGTGAAATCTGATATTATTAGGACCTGCCTTTTCTGTCTTAATATGCAAGACAAGGTGAGATGTAAACTTTCCGCTTGGCACTTATGTTAGTGTGGCTCGGCAGTTAGATAATTGGTATAAATAAAAGGCGCAATTTTGCATAGGGATTCAGTATTAGCCACGTGTATCACCCTGTTCAGGCTACTGATAGGTAACAGTGTCCTATTATTGGACTTTAGCAATATAGGGATCCCCAATATGGACTTTGGGACTTTGGAAACACTTGATAACTGGGAACACCATAGCGGAGATGTTAAAGGTTAACCAGAATTGGTATTAATAGGCGGCCTGTACCTGGCTACTACAAGTATGATTGAGTATACTCTGTTTGACAAAATACAACTCCGCAGGTACTGGGCAGCTGAGGCAGGGTTTAGGAAACTGTTCTCTACTGTGAATGACCTTTGGATAGATAGAATTCAATATTGTCAGTTCTGCATTACAGCTGAAATGCAACTTGGTCGCAGCCGACATTGTCACTTGCGGGAAATGAGTGACACGTCCGCAGGCACCCTTTTTAAGCGCCCATAAAACTAATAGAGAAATCCAAGCCGTTTGAACAGAGCTGAACACGATTTTAAAAAGTCAGCAGGTCATGATAATATTACACTGTGGACAGTTGGGGAAGAGATCAGCAATTAAAGCAAGCTGAGGCAGGGTTCATGTCAGCTTGCAAGTCTTGGGGAGATAAAAGACGACATGCTTAGGAAAAAGCGACGTACTTGTTACTTGAGATGGAATATTCGAGAAATAATACTCTCTTTGAAGTTCCTCTTCTTCTTATTGCCGTCTCGGTGTTGAGCGTTCCTTGGTCGGGGATAACCCATAGCTTCTGCGTATGAAGGAGGTCGGTCATCTGATGTTTGAGTTGTTCGTGGTCCAGTGAAAGTACAGCCAACACATCGGCATGGGGCCCCAAGCGATGATGGGGAAATGTGGGAAGCTTGGAAGTCCACGTATCGATCCATATCTCTTTATCAAGATGAGTTGCAACATTAAATAATTCTCCAAGTAAACATAACACATAGTTCAAGCTATATACTAAGCTTGATCATGCTGGAGTATTGGATCAACGTAGTGCTTGCCGTGCGTGAGGTCACTTTCGCCGAAAAAGTGGCGTAGCCAACTTCGCCGAAGCTAAGGCTGGAGTGCCGCTTTGACATGAGCCGGTAGTGAAAAGACGTCAGAAAAACCAGCGGCAAAATATCCATCAATTCGCGCCAACGTTGGCAGTAACAGTGGAGAGACCTTACTTTGGTCCCTCACAATCTGGCGCCAAGCGACCAGCATATCCCGTGATCTTGGTGCTGCTTCCTGCGTCGGCGATTGAATGAAGACAACCAGGGCAAAGCTTGACATTACGGCGAAGCAGATATTCGACCCTTGATAGTTGTTAGGAGGTATCCACGTTACGCATAAAGCAGGACTTCTTTGTTACTTACAGGAGTACCAAAATTCGTGAAAGCGAGCTGGGGAGAGGTTTTTCACAAGACTTGACAGGCTTGTTGCCCAGGCCAGAGAAGACTGATGAAGGTTCTGGATAACTGCATCGTGTGAACCCGTACCATCAATGCTGCTCCTCAGCGGCAACTCGAGATGAGATAGATCTGGTAGATCCCAGCAAAGGTTCTCGATATCATGCGGCTGGAGTTCCATAAACAGAGAGGCTTCTGCAAGCTGTTGATAGTCCACGATAAGTGGCGGGACAGCCGATGGCACAATCGGTCGGAGAAGCGCTCTCCAAACATATGTAACCAGTGTTGCGTGTGCAACTAGTATCGTCGCGGGGTACGATGCCTTATCGTTGAGCATGCCATTGTTAGTTGTTATCGTTGGGGACTCTGGGGCCAGGACGGAAGCACGCCATAGGGTCAATTGCTCAAAGATGGGCTGTGCTGTCTGAATGGAGAGCGATAAGTTCTCAGAGAGCCTCTGAGATGCCCTCAATGAACTACAGGGGCGGTTAGCGTATGTACACTCACCAAGTGTAGACTCGAGTCACGTACTAAAAAGATGCCTGTACCGAACTTGCGATTACTGAGAGGCGGGCTATATCTCTGAATGGTCTCGTTAACTCAGCGTGCGAAACATCCGTACAAGGAATACTGCTCGGAATGCTGAAGTCCGTTTCTTCCAACTGAGCAACATCCCATTCATTGTGGGATATGTAAGGTGGTCGACCCATTAGAAGCGAGAGCCACTTGTCCTCCGTATATAAAGCCCACCACAGCCGGGCACGCAGTTGCTTCTCTTCAGTCGGAATGGCGCACATTCGGGTCTCAAGATGCAGACCGAGATTCTGAGCCATGCCGATAAGACTACCCAGCCATGACCACTTGAAGGCATCTGGTGCAGTTGAAAGCGGTTGGTGGCCCTGGCTGATCCCATGTAGGTAGAAAAGGCCCGCTTGCAAGACAGACAATTGAGGACGGCGGATTCCTTC